GGGGTATAAATAAGGTAAATAATAAATAAATAAATAAATAATAGTGCCTGACCAAACTACAAACTCCAGGATATGCAGTCCTGAAAAAAGACATGCCTGGAATGAATAGTTAAACCTTTGTATCTCTTGTTCCATTGTCCTCTGCACTCATTCTCTCCCTTAATTGTTTCATTTGATGGGAGAAATTGAGAAAGCAATAGAGAAGTGGACACAGGGAGAGATACGACAGAGCGATCATCTCATCTCTATCTAGATAAATTCTTGACTCCCAATGTTTTAAAAATTAAGCTCAAGATTACCAAATGTGTTCAGTCATGTGGAATAATTATTGCTGTGATTGCTATGCTCTGTTATGAGCTCAAGGGTTTTGCTATTCTCCTACCTCTGAAAATATACACTTAAATATTACCAGACACTTTAAAAGAAAACTAAACACACAAGCAAACTTTATTGATGCATTCTGTATCAAACACACAAAAGAAATGTGTGCACTCTCTACAGCATCTGAAAACAGCTGGTAGCAACAATGATGGATTTAAGTTATTAACAGATCAAAAAAAGATGGATGGTGTTCTGCTTTTCTTAATCTACATCATCATCTAGATCTATTTAAAGATATGTGGTACACTAACAAACTTAGTTAAGGTTTCGATAAAATCAGTAGAATAATCTACCCCGTTACATTGAGTCTGCATTGATCAATAAAATCACTTGTACTAGGAAAGTACTGTTAAACACTGACAATCCTTGGCCATTAATATTATTTAACACACTGTTTGCAATCTTTAATGAGGATAAAGAACATTTTTGTCTCTCTACACTTATCATACTGCCCTTTACAGAGATCCTTATAAAAACAGCACAACAGTGATTATTCAAAACTAATCGGGGTTTCAGAAGGAAAAGGACACTGAATAATTTCTGGTAGGTTTTCTCTGTGATTAATAGATGTTTTCAGCAGTATCCTTTTTTTTAAAGGATAGAATTGAAGTTAAATGAATTTGCATTTATGCTATCAAGGATGAATTTCTAGTCATTTACACTCAGCAACAATCCGAATGTTTAAAGTATGACTTGTTAAAACAGCATATCTTACCAGGAACACAACCAGAAAAGCAAGCAGAAAAGAACAACATTACAAGATTTAATTTTGAACAGATATTCCTAGCCATCAAGTACAATAATTCAATATTTTCTGAGAATGTTCAAAATTATTCATTATAACAGAATTTGTTTGGATGACTTTCTGCTCAGATATAGGATTTACGTATCAAAAAAACTATAAATCATACAAAACATGGAGGGTAAGTTATGGGTCGCTGGGAAAAAGGAAAACAATCAATTACTACTAACTCTCTTACAAATATTAGGATGTGAGTTGCTCCTTTTCCTAAAGTACATTAGATGGAATAGACTACAAACAAATTAATTCCTTATTGTCCTTTAGCAGCAGATCTTCTCATTTTGGCTGCCTTTTAGATCCAAAGGTTTTTAAGGAAAGGGCTTTTAAGAGAGTGCTGAACTGTTCCAAACTGGTTTTTATCTCTCTTAAGTACAGTGGAACCTTTACTTAAGAGCATCCCAACTTAAGATTGTTTTGAGTTAAGAGTCATTACTCAGCATGGTTTTGCTTTGACATAAGAACAGCATTTTGAGTTAAGAGCTAGTGCCAAAGGGAATACTAGCATGATAAGGAGTGCTAGAATGAGAGTACAGGGCTTTAGGGCTTCAAGGGAGCAGCCTCTGTGCCTTTTGCTCTTGTTCGCTTTGAGGAACTTTGAGTTAGTTGATTTTTTGTGGTTGTTATTCTTGGTATGTTTGGCTTGGGAGAGAGAGCAAGAGAGGGAGGGAAGCTGGAATGAGTACAGTAAGAAGAAAACAATGTTTCTGCCTCTTCACTTTGTGCTTCCTTGCCACAACTTTGTGCTTAAACCACTGTAAAGTTGATTTTTCTTTTTTATTGTTCCATGTGAATGTGCATTTATAAAGTGCATTTTCTTATTTCAAAATATGTAACGAATTTGGGAGGAGGGGCGTGGTACGGATTAATAGCATTTCAGAGCATTCCAATGGGACATTTCACTTTGAGAGAAGAGTAATTTGTGTTAAGAACTCAGTCATGGAACTTTTTAGCATGAAGGGTGAAAGAGGCTCCACTTCTTAGTGTCACTTGTCAAATTGTTCTGAAGTGAATTTTACCAACCTCTCTGGAACAGATTTAGGGGGAATGACTACCTGTAGGGAACAGAAATGAGGAAAATTCTTTCCTTGCCCAAAACCACCATTGCAAAATGCTCTACTAGATCAGAACCCTTCCGTAATAGCAAAATGATCCCTTCTAATTATAAGAAGAAAGTCTCAGATAAAATCCATAATCCATGAAAAATCATCTCAAACAAATAAACATAATCAGCAGTTTTTACTAATTTATGTTTTGTAACTTTTTAACTTATTTAGCATTTAACATTTGTATCAGGGGAGCTACTATGACCTATTTAATGAAATATGTTGGCATGGAAGAAGAGCAGAAATAAGAATATCTCCTTCTAGGAACATCAAACTCAATAGGATTTTGGGAACTGATTTATCATGGGAAAAGCACTGCAAGTACTTGCAAAGTAAACTGCAAGATTGTCTAGACTTGCTATTTTTAAAAATGGAGAGTTATGAGAAAACATATTAAAAATGCACAGCCCAGGAAAGGTATTGCTGAGAATTTTAAGGAAAGATTTGGAAGAGAAGGAGAGTTTGACAGGAACACATAAAAGGCAATTTGTTCATTCACTGGAAGTGCCTTGGCAGAAGATACAAAAAGAGAGAGATGTATATGACCAACTGGATATCACAGTCTGAAAAGCTCTAACATGAAATCACAATAGAGCACCATCTGACATCTTCCAACCAACAGAACCCCCCCCCCTTTCCCCTACTGCTAAAACTGCCCACTTGTGAGAGTGCTTTACAGGAAACAAGAAAGACAGTGGGGTTTCATTACAGATACTCATGTGTAACATGAAGTTAGACCCACTGTCAGAAAGGTTAAATTCAGTTGTCAGGTTGTTGCGCACAAGAGATCACACTGAAATTGTATCTCAAGACAGACAGCTAGTTTCACTTACACATTTGAGTCAGAATGTCATGCTATTTTGGGGAAAGGTTGCAGAAGAATCAAAACAGAAGATACTGACCATCAAATTATTAACTTTCTCACATCTCCATTTTAGAACATGAGCTAGATTTTTAGAACCCATCATAAGCTCATGGTACTTAAAGGAGTTATTGAAACTTATGATCTATTTTTATGTAATTTTAAAATAACATGATCATTTTTATGTAATTTTAAATGAAGCTTGGCTTCTTTTTTACATTTCCCCCACTCGATGATATTAACAATATTAAGAGATTTTTGGACTGTATGGCCATGTCCTCTGACGATGCTTGCCATAGATGTGGGCAAAAGGTCATGAGGGAATGCTTCTGGAACATGGCCATACAGCCCAGAAAATTCACAGCAACCAAGGGATTCCGGCCATGAAAGCGTTTGACAACACAATATAAAGAGACTGTGATCATCATCATCATCATCATCATCATCATCATCATCATCATCATCATCATATTTAATTACTTATTAATCGCCCTCCACCTGAGAATGCTCTAGGCGATTTACAGCTAAATTGTAAAAGATAAAATACATACATACAGAATTAAAAATTAACAGAGATCGAATGTTCTCTGAGAGATATTGAGACCAGGAACACTATTCTTTAGAGTTGATAGATTTTCTGCAGAGAAAAATGGGGCAGACTTCCAAAGACATCTCAAGACTGGAAGGGAGACATGAGGCAGACCTGAGTAAATAATATACCCCCTCCATTAAAATGGTTAATAATTAGTCAGTAAACACATTGTATGCCATGGTCTCTAAGCCGTCCTGAGTCCCAAGTCCTGCATTGGAGTGAGAAGGGTGGAGGTATAAATGCAGTACAATAATAATAATAATAATAATAATAATAATAATAATAATAAACAGTAAACAGATTAAAACATATAAACTGCATAGTTCCATTCGTCCAAGATCCTTGTTGATAATCCATACTCTAACCATGTCGAAGCCTGTAGTCACTTATTCTTTGAATGCTTGTGTGCAAAGCTATGTCTTTAACTTTTTTTTCTTAAAAATTAGAATAGATGAGGGCTGCCTGATGTCACTGGGGAGGGAATTCCATAGCCGAGGGGCCAACACTGAGAAGGTTCTGTCTCTCGTCCCCATCAAACACGCTTGAAGGTGGGACAGAGAGCAGATAGATAGATATGACAAGATAAGGCCATAGTAAAGGCAAATAAAATAACTAAGAGTAATTGACTTGTAGAAATTATGACAAACAAGGAATAGAATAAATTCATAATGGTTTTCAGTGCCCATGTTTAGATCAATGTTACTATCACCAACTTTATACCTTTTTCATCCCCAGTACTGGGACTCTAGGTGATTACAAATTTAAATGATTACAATATAATTTAAAACATACAGAAAGTCGAAATTATCAACATAACAATAGAATTAAACTATTATAAATACTAAAACAATTTAAAACTTAACAATTATAAAAAGCAGTTAAAAATTGTACATTTTCAAACAAGACAGTGTTCTCAGAAAGATTTTCCTTTAAAACCTTCTGTTCTAAAAACAGGCTGGTTTTTTTCTTTAAAAACTGTTGCAATGGACACTGCAAGGCATTTCCAAGCTTGATTAAAATGTATCAGTGACATTATAGCCAGTGTCAAGTCTAATACTTTACTAAAAAGGTAGCATATAAGGTAGTATAACTTGGCAAAAGAAAAATGAAACAAATAATTTTTTTTCAAAATTGCATGGACATGTGACCACAATAACAATTTTTCAAAGATAATCCAAAGGAAATGATGTTCTATCATAGGTTACTAAGACAGTTCTTGGAAAGCAAAGTCATTTCTATGTATTCTTAAATGGAGCTCACCTGTAAATATACTTCCAAGCCTTGGCGACGTTGTTCCAGGACTTTGGGCACCCAGTTCCTCACATGCTTTGAAGGGATTTCTGGGGTTCTTATGAATTTCTTAAGCTGCAAATGAAACCATAAAAAAAGTTATAAGACGTTGAAATAAAAAAAATCAAATAGAAGTTGTGAAAATAGGAGAATGAATGTATATATGTTTATATGGTAAACTGCAACTTTTTATCAAAATACTTTTTCATCTTTTGGCCCTATTCAATTACAGATCTCACAGTCCTGCTCCTATTGCCACTCACCGATTACCACAGTTTACTATTGTTATTTTGCGTTATTTTGTATCACTTCTGATGTTGTTTGTAAGGCACTGAATATTTGTCCATCTCTGTATGTAAACCACCCTGAGTCCCTTTTGGGAGAGAAGGTGGTCTAGAAATAAAGTTTTATTATTGTTATATTTTATTACAGAATTAATAACATCCAAAGGGTTTAATTTAACATGGATATGAGTTTATACTCCTGCATATTATCTTTAGAAACAGGCCTTAAAAATTGGACCATATGCTTCAAATGCAATCAGCTGTGGGCTCTTTACAGAATGAAGCACTTAGAAACCAACAAACAAGCTGCGCAACATAGAACTGGGAGAAACAAAGGTTCAAAACTGAACCCAAAGTTAAAATGTGTTACAGTAGTTCAAATGAGATGCAATGAAGGCATGACTAATTGTATCCAAATCTGATGCAGCTGAAGCACACGTTTTTGGCATTTAGAGTCAGAGAAGTGTCCAGGAGGACACCCAAGCTATGGCCTGAGATTTCAGGGGAGTGTAATCTCATCAACTACAGGCAAAGTCTTATTCCTTGAACTGTCACCTCTAAATTACTGCATATATCACATAGTTGACTCAATGTAGAAGTTGAGAGCAAGTTTGGGGACCAAAATGACAACTTTTGATATGGCCTGTGGATAAGTCCAGAGTTAATCTGTGGAGAGGAAAACACACCAATGCTGCCTCAGGGAGCCAAACACCTCTGCTTGGTGTCACAATTTTCCTGCCCAAAATTTAAAAAGTTTGGAAATGGCACCATGATGGAGAGAGTAGATGAAGTCAGTGTTTCTTTTAGGTTCTCTCAGGCTGGACCAAGTTCTTTTCTTTAGCCATTCTGTTCAGAGAAAGGGATGGTTCCTTTTTAAAATAGGAATTAAAGTACAATACTCACATTGACCTGTGTATATTATGTGTATTTATGGATGTTTTTAATATGATGTGACCCAATCTTAGCATTTTATGATGGAAAAATAGGAGAGAAATATTTTGGATGAATGGAAAGATCTCTGAACTATGGAAATAGACTTGGAAAGCCTGCAGTTACAAACACAGTATGCGCCTTTCAGTAAATTGTCCTTTTATCCTCTCAGCCCTCTCATTTCTAATAACAAGAACAACCATCAACCATTTGGGATTGTTATAAGGCTGAACCAGATAAACATTTGTAAACCATTTTGCATGTAAAACAGGCTGCCTACACAATGAATTTACAAGAACCCAAATCAAAGAAAGTCTTGCAGTATTCAAGGGAGAGAGAAAGAACAGATAACACCAGAGTGGCTTTCCTAACATTTGATACAAGGTGACATGGGCATTCTTTAAGCTCTATATCACCTCTAAATAAATGTGAAGTGGTGGGGGAGAGAAATCACAAGGACAGAAACTCAACATTGACTTTGACATGCATGCCCACAGGGGCTGAGGAATTTACATTTCATTTCTGAGCCTGAGGAGGTATCACCCTATCGAAAGCTGTGTCAACAAAAGTCTCTGGTCACATCCAACAAAGGCAGCTCCATTGTTTGAGAAAGGCTGTTTTAACAAGCTAGCAGATACCTTAAGCAATGTTCCAACTTTAGACAAAATCATTCAAGCCTAGATCTATTAAAATCTGACATATAGTTGAGTAGTTGAGTGGAGCAACATCTTTTAATAATTAAAAAAAATACATCCCCTCCCCCAAAGAAAATTCCTGATATTTTATCATTGGGTTTAGTATTTCTGAGTCTGGATATATTTGGGGTACAATTCAGTGCATTGCAGAGACCATATAGCAATAAACCACTTTCCAAAATTGTGTCTTTGAGAAGGACAGAGGCTCTTCCAGAGCCAGTCTATGACCTACTGCCTCTGGTAGTTGGGCAGAAGCTGCTAGCAATGGCTATTCCTGCTCTGCCCCCAAAATATTTCTAGATATTGGGTTTGAAGGTGCTCTGTGTATTTTTGGAAAGGTAACATGGACTTTTCTCTCCATGCTGACTTGGTGTTGGACACTTTCTTAAAGATCCAGGGAATAACTTTGAGGATGATCCTCCCACTTTTCTACAGAAAAAAAAGTCATGATTGGCAGCATTGGCTGATGCTTACCAATGGTCTGTCTATTCTCTGTCCAATTTCCTGTTGGTTGGTCAAGAAGAGAAGGAAAGGGATAGTAGGGAAAGGGGATAATACAAAGATTGCTTCCATCCACTTTTGACTCTAATACACTCTCTGTTGACCTAAGGATTCATCATTTTTAAATTGGGTCAACAATGCCTTTTTAAAAAAATTCTTCATGCCTAGTCAAAGAGGAGCTGCATGAAATATATTTTCTGCATCTTGGCAATATCAAACATGAAACGTCTCTCTAATTTAACAAAACAGAAGATTCAGGACCCAAGGAGAGTCATCATATCAGAATAAGTGAAAGCAAGGTAGAGATAGCATAGTTTAACAACATATACACCGTGTTTACCTTTTTGTGGAGAGCATGGAACTCACTATACCTCTTTTCCACAAAGTGTTTTCTTCCATTGGTTAGTACCTCTATCTTAAAGACCTGTAAAAAAAAAAAGAATTTAAACATATTACTTTCACTTACTTAAATGTTTTCCTTCAATATATTTCTTTCCTTTAATTACATAAGATACCCCTTACAGAGAACATTGAAAAGACACCTTGGTGTAAAGCTGATTTATGATAAATATGTCAAAGGTTTAAGATTTGTAGGGCTTAAAAGGCTACTTTTATGTTACCATCATAATTTCTAGAATGTAATATGATAAACAGTACAGTAATAGATGTTTATTGTACAAATAGAAGATGAATTAATAATCTCAGTGTCTTTTGCAACTAAGCACTACAGTATATTAATAACCTTACATGTGTACAGTTCAGTGACAGAAGGAGTGCATTTGTAGAACACATAAGATATAAATGCAAAGACTATGTTGCAGGTTAATTTCCACCTAACCTACATATTCATCTCTAGTCTCAGCTGGACCTGCTCTACTGTTTACACCATTAAAAATGTGGTGCAGGCTCATTTTCTTTGCATGATGTGTATGACAGCTTTTGCTGCTGCTTGTAGAAGGTTGAAAGGGCAGCTAGAGAAGCTCTCTAGATCCACTAATTAGTAGCCACTGGTATGACATTTTCTTGATTTTCAGGTCACTGGGTCAGATCTCAGGGCAGGTGACAAGAAATACTTCAAAATGCTCATGAAAACACAACCCAGTAATTCTGTACCAACATCAGTAACTAGAAAACTATACTAACAAAGACTTTCCACTCATTACAACCAAACATTCCTGCTTTTGAGTTAAAAGTACATTAGGAAGTAACCAGACTTGATCTAGAAAGAGACAAGAGAAATTAGAAACAGCAAAGACTTAATTTTGGGGCCAAAACCTAGCATATATGCTGCTAATGTTCCTAGCCAAATAATTATCATTATGATGAGAAGCAGTGAAATGGTTTCTTCAAAGAATCTTGAAGAATGTACACTTGCAGTACTTTTGTTCACTTCCAGAGAAATGGATTGTGTAATTTGCTTATGAAGAAGTGTAAGTTTTTCTGTTTACTATGGAATTTTGCTGGATCTCTTTTGCTCCTGAATTGTTTCATATCAACATGAATTCACTGAGTGAGGTCCTCCAGGAACTTCAGACGAAGAATCATAAGCAGGTTCATGAGACCTAGCAATACTTTTCCTTTCCCCTGAAACCAGATGCGGTGGTGTGGTACTTAACAGATCTTTGAATAATGGATCAAAGTGAAGCTCAAGTATGACAAAGATGTTCTATTTTGTAAGTAATTTTCCTAACCAAGGAGGCTGGTCAGAAAATGTCTGGATAGAATTACACAGCAGGGTGGGATAACTATTTAGCTCGATTGATAATATTGGATACAGATCTTTTTCTGGATGCCCAGATGGCACTTGTATGCCACTTCTGATTAGAAACAGCATCTAAACTTGGACATATTACCTCTGTCCCAATAAACTTCACATATGGTTTCTATTTGATAGAATTTGATAGAATTTTGCCAGGAAAACTCGCTGTGTATAACGAATACTCTCTTCCAACAACCTAAAAGACGGCTTTATACATGGACCTCGCCAGATGGTCAACACCGAAATCAGATTGACTACATCCTTTGCAGCCAAAGGTGGCGGACATCAATCCAGTCGGTGAAAACAAGACCTGGGGCTGACTGTAGCTCAGATCACGAACTTCTTATTGCCAAATTTAGAATAAAACTAAAGAGATCAGGGAAAATACACAGACCAGTTAGATATGATCTCACTAACATTCCTAGCGAATACACAGTGGAAGTGAAGAACAGATTTGAAGGACTAGATTTAGTAAACAGAGGCCCAGAAGAACTATGGACAGAAGTCCGAGACATTGTTCAGGAGGCGGCAACAAAGTACGTCCCAAAGAAAAAGAAAACCAAGAAGGCAAAATGGTTGTCTGCTGAGACACTGGAAGTAGCCCAAGAAAGGAGGAAAGCAAAAGGAAACAGGATAAGGGGAGATATGCACAGTTAAATGCGCAATTCCAGAGGTTAGCCAGAAGAGATAAGGAACTATTTTTAAATAAGCAATGCATGGAAGTGGAAGAAGACAACAGAATAGGAAGGACAAGAGACCTCTTCCAGAAAATTAGAAACATTGGAGGTAAATTTCAGGCAAAAATTGGTATGATAAGAAACAAAGATGGCAGGGACCTAACAGAAGCTGAAGAGATCAAGAGAAGGTGGCGAGACTATACAGAAGATCTGTATAGGAAGGATAATAATATTGAGGATAGTTTTGACGGTGTGGTGAATGAATTAGAACCAGACATCCTGAGGAGTGAGGTTGAATGGGCCTTAAGAAGCATTGCTAACAACAAGGCAGCAGGAGACGACGGGATCCCAGCTGAACTGTTTAAAATCTTAAAAGATGGTGCTGTCAAGGTGATGCATGCCATTGCCAGCAAATATGGAAAACACAAGAATGGCCATCAGACTGGAAAAAATCAACTTATATCCCCATACCAAAAAAGGGAAATGCGAAAGACTGCTCAAACTTCCGTACAGTGGCCCTTATTTCTCATGCCAGTAATTAATGCTCAAGATCCTGCAAGGAAGACTCCAGCAATACATGGAGCGAGAGTTGCCAGATGTTCAAGCTGGGTTTAGAAAAGGCAGAGGAACGAGAGACCAGATTGCCAATATCCGCTGGATAATGGAGAAAGGCAGGGAGTTTCAGAAAAACATCTATTCTGCTTCATTGACTATTCTAAAGCCTTTGACTGTGTGGATCATAATAAATTGTGGCAAGTTCTTGGTGGGATGGGCATACCAAGCCACCTTGTCTCTCTCCTGAGGAATCTGTACAAGGACCAAGTAGCAACAGTCAGAACTGACAACGGAACAACAGACTGGTTCAAGATTGGGAAAGGCGTACGGCAAGGCTGCATCCTCTCACCCAACCTTTTAACTTGTATGCAGAACACATCATGCGATGTGCGGGGCTGGATGAATGCAAAGCTGGGGTGAAAATTGCTGGAAGAAACATTAACAACCTCAGATATGCAGATGACACCACTCTGATGGCCGAAAGCGAGGAGGAGCTGAGGAGCCTTCTAATCAAGGTCAAAGAAGAAAGCGCAAAAGCCGGGTTGCAGCTAAACGTCAAAAAAACCAAGATTATGGCAACAAGAATGATTGACAACTGGAAAATAGAAGGAGAAACCGTGGAGGCAGTGACAGACTTTGTATTTCTAGGGGCAAAGATTACTGCAGATGCAGACTGTAGCCAGGAAATCAGAAGACGCTTACTTCTTGGGAGGAGAGCAATGTCCAGTCTCGATAAAATAGTGAAGAGTAGAGACATCAGACTGGCAACAAAGATCCGCCTAGTCAAAGCCATGGTATTCCCTGTAGTCACCTCCGGATGTGAGAGCTGGACCTTAGGGAAGGCTGAGCGAAGGAAGATCGATGCTTTTGAACTGTGGTGTTGGAGGACAGTTCTGAGAGTGCCTTGGACTGCGAGAAGATCCAACCAGTCCATCCTCCAGGAAATAAAGCCCGACTGCTCATTGGAGGGAAGGATACTAGAGACAAAGTTGAAGTACTTTGGCCACATCATGAGGAGACAGCAAAGCCTAGAGAAGACAATGATGCTGGGGAAGGTGGAAGGCAAAAGGAAGAGGGGCCGACCAAGGGCAAGATGGATGGATGGCATCCTTGAAGTGACTGGACTGACCTTGAAGGAGCTGGGGGTGGTAACGGCCGACAGGGAGCTCTGGCGTGGGCTGGTCCATGAGGTCACGAAGAGTCGGAGACGACTGAACGAATGAACAACAACATGGTTTCTATTATACCTGGAAATGCTTCTGAAGAGTACTCTGAAAATTCAACTAGTATAAAATATAGGAACTAGATTACTAGTTAGCATGAGCAAATCTCCAATTTCAGTGTGCTATTCTGTTAAGGGATGGCTTTCACCTATTAAATGCTATACACTTTGAGAATAATGGGACTTGCTCTTATGTGAACCTGCCCACTTGACAAGACAGCTTTCAGAGGCTAGGCAGCAGGAATCAAAGATTAGGTGATAGTAGGTGATAATAATAATAATAATAATAATAATAATAATAATAATAATAATAATTATTATTATTATTATTTCTTACCTGTCTCTCCCCATGGCTTGATCTTATAAACTAATTGACAACATTAGTTTATAAAAACTAAATATGTTTGGCAAAGATGAGAGACAGGGCCTTCTCAGTGGTGGCCCCTCAGCTATGGAACGCCCTGCCTAGGGACATTAGATTGCCCCCCTCCATCTTAACATTCTGAAAAAAAGTTAAGACTTGGCCTTTTGAGCAAGTGTTTAAAAATGCAATGTAACAGACATAGGAATATGGAGACTGGATGATGAGATTGGACAACATTTTTAATTAGGAGTCACAAATGATTTATGTTTTTATTGATTTTGTATGGTTTTATATTATATGTTAATGTTTTTCAATACTTTTATGGTGTTTTTGGGCATTGCACTGTTGCCTCTGTAGACCACCCTGAGTTGCCTGAGGACTGAGAAGGGTAGTATACAAATACAATAAATAAATAAATATTCATGCCTTTCAGATAGTATTGTTTCATTTTTGTTCATTTTTTAAAAAATCTGGCTGCTTCTTGGTAATTTCTTTAAACCATATTACGGTAAATGGAAAGGGAGAGTTGTAACATTTAAAATAAGTAAGTGAAGAAAGGAGTTGTGTTCAGTCTCTTGTAACTTCAGCCAATGATGCCAGCAATCATAGTTTGTTCTTTCACCTTTGTGCTGACACTCAAGCCGAAAAGTGATTGTCTTATAGCAGATGTGGACCAAGAACTATCTTGGTTTCCATTAATTGTCACAATCTTTGTTTTGAATTCAATTACAAATGAAAGTCCAGCATAGAGTTCAGCTGATGTCATACATCATTATTACACGCAGAGAATCAAAGCACTTAACCATATCACAGTTTATGGGGGTAGATGTGGTTGTTATTTCTTCAA